TTGCTAACTTTTAACGTTAGGAAACCTCTACTTGCGACTTTTAACGCTAAGAAAACTCTGCTTGCTAACTTTTGACGTTAGGAAACCTCTCCTTGCTAACTTTTAACGCCAAGAAACCTCTGCTTGCTAAATTTTCACGCTAAGAAACCTCTGCTTATTAACTTTTCACGCTAAGAAACCTCTGCTTGCTAACTTTTCACGCTAAGAAACCTCTGCTTGCTAATTTTTCACGCTAGGAAACCTCTGCTTGCTAACTTTTAACGTTGAGAAACCTCTGCTTGCGAACTTTTAACGCTAAGAAAACTCTGCTTGCTAACTTTTGACGTTAAGAAACCTCTACTTGCTAACTTTTAACGCCAAGAAAACTCTGCTTGCTAACTTTCAACGTTAAGAAAACTCTGCTTATAAACTTTTCGCGCTAAGAAACCTCTGCTTGCTAATTTTTCACGCTAAGAAACCTCTGCTTGCTAATTTTTCACGCTAAGAAACCTCTGCTTACTTACTTTTAACGTTTTGCTTGCAACTTTTAACGCTAAGAAAATTCTGCTTGCTAACTTTTGAAACCTCTGCTAACTTTTAACGCCAAGAAAACTCTGCTTTCTAACTTTCAACGTTAAGAAAACTCTGCTTATTAACTTTTCACGCTAAGAAACCTCTGCTTGCTAATTTTTCACGCTAAGAAACCTCTTCTTGCTAACTTTTAACGCTTTTGTTATTTTCACGATTCCGTATCAAGATGTGCTAGCACATCAAGATGGTGCCTAGCTTGGAAAGGTTTTCTATTTCTCTGATAACCTGGCTTTTAATTTATCAATATCCTTACTGAAAAGTGTTCACTCCCATTAAATAGTGAAAAACCTTGAACTCCATGGATCAGAACTTCGGTCTTAAAGCAGAATCGAAAGGAAACTAAAGACAAAAAGAAATTTTAAGGTTCATTTGATGAATTTTACTCCTACTTGATCTTTTTGTTTGGTTAGTTCCGGCGAAGTTTACATAAATAGAGGCGTGCAGTATGAACACAGTACAAGTTTGCAAGAGTGACAAAGTAACTATCTAAACCATCCGGATCTTCAGAAGACTTTGAAACATCCATGTAAGTGATTAAGTGACGTTTTCCTTCCTAAGTTTTCTAGTTTAATAAGGATCTGAAGCTTTTTCAAGACTTTACAATCGTTTTTCTTTTGTTACGAGGCTGTATTCTTTTTTCCCAATGATTTTAGTTTTTTTGGAAAACAAAACTAAGACGATAAAAAGAAGCTAAACTTGGGAATTCCACGGCTTTCATTCAATACTTAAATCCAAAAAGAAAATCCGAAATATCAACAGGTACATACACTATGAAGTTTGAACTACAAATTTCAGGTTCTTGTATCGTTAGATTTTGACTTGTCAATTATTCAGTGGGCAGATCACGATGGATTTAAGTTTTCCTTCGGTATTAATAGAGGGAGAGGTGCAATTTTTTTACACCAACTGAGCAAAGGTAAAATTCAAGAAAATAAGACCGAGGCAGTCCTGGATCCTACAATAAAGATTGATCGATATTTTATTTACATCGCTCCCTTACTTGCTTTGGAACTTAAACATCAATTTAAGTTCTTTTTAAAAAAAATTCCGATTCAGCTGTCGCTGTAAATAAATGAATGACTTCTTTATTAATATCTATATTATTTAATCGCTCCGTAGTTAGAGGATTTCAGAACATCATCACACAAGCGGTTATAAAATTTTCATTGCTGTTGTAGTTTCCCAAGCATGGATTTGAAGTTTCAACTGTGCGTGTTGGTACTTATTTTGGGAATCACAGTGGACGCTTACCGTTTCAGTCCCAGAAGTAAAGGTAAGTTGACGAGGAAAAGCTGTTGGCCAGCACTTCGACAAGCAAATTGAATCGAGAAGTTTATTTAAAATATTCAAGCCATACTTTTAAGCCTTTAAGGCGAGAGAGGCTAACTTATCTGAGTGGATATATACATGATCACATCAATTAAATAGCAATAATTACCAGGCTTAGGGAAATTTCCTGAAGGATACTCACGCTCGATTTAAAATTTCCTCTCCCAGCAACTAAAGTGACTGAAATGAAGTAGATATCCACTGCTAGACGTAGAGGCATAATCAAGCCTGGGTCTCGGGTTTCTCTTACTCACGAATTTACCAAATCACTTAAGTTGCAGCTGATAAACGAACTGAAAGCTGTGACTGGCCTTACGGATATTGTGTTTACATTCATGATCCATGTCCACCAGACGCACCGAATGAATGTGAGAATGGATGTCGATCTCCCACAAACAAATGTTGCTGCCGGTAAGATGTTCAGCACAATAATGTTTCTAAATTTTCTTAATATCCTAGCAAAATTTTTCCTATTAAACCGGCCTGTGTTCTTCATATCAAAACTGCCTTTCTATCTGGGTCTTTTTCAATCCTACATCGTTCTGATTTATTTATATCAAGGAAGTTCTTATTAATTCCATTTCCGACCATTCCTTTTTTTTCGGCATTGCTAAGTCTCCAAAATAGTAAACACAGCTGTGAACATAGGAGATCTTTATTGCTTGGAAGGGTACTCAGATTGTTAAACTGAACTAATTTCCAGGTTATTAGGTTTTATTAACTCAGTTGATAATGTAAATTGGCCACCGTAAAGAGTTTCTAAAGTTGACGTTTCGAGTTGTAGCTCTTCGTCAGAGCCAAAAAGAGAATTGTGGGTTGTGTGTGTTTTATATGAAGAAAATGGAGCTAATTCCTATTTTTCTCTTTCGAATATATTTATAAAAAAAATCCTTCCCCAAAAAAAAAACTTAATGCATTGTTTTCCATGTGATCACGCTTTTTTCACATAACCCGTAATAGTTCTTGGTTCTAATTCCTCCGCGCGGTTCAGACAAACATCTCTCCTGTGCTATGTGCTTTTGCGTATAATGTCATCTGTTGTAACAACTGAAGATGACTTCTAAGCCCTAAACGGCGCAACATAAATGCAGTAAGGTCCAAATAGTAGCAAGTTAAACTGCTTATATTTAAGACGTACTTCACTTACAGATGAAACTAACCGCAATACTTTTCTATTCTCTAGTGACCCTTTTTGAGGAAGAATTAGCTGGAGATGGATCATCAAACGCATCGGCTTTCAAAGAGATAAACATCTGTTCGTAACGATTCGTAATGAAACATAACGTGACGTGTAGTTAATAAACGATACAATTGTAAGTTAAAACTAGCTGCAGCCTGATGCAAAATAAAAAAAATAAAAAATAAAAAAAGCATCTCAACCAACTCAATGACTGAATGAATCGAAGCAAAAAACAGGGTTTGTAAAACCTTTTTGGGCATTTATGACGTTAGAATGTGTTTTGAACTAATCAATATTTGTTTCTTGCGTTACCTTGAGGGAGAGGGGGGTGGGGGGAGTTTGACAAAAGGCAAGAGTAATTCCTAAACTCTCCCGTCTCTCTCTGACTTTGGGGGTCGGACGAGTAAAAACCTTTTTAACGAGCTCAGGGACGGGGTGGAAAGTTGAACTGCCATAATAGTGATGTAGAGAGAGGTAGCAACGGCTTATTCAGATATTACTGGAACTAGTAGTTTTACCGTGAAAAAAGTACCGATATATCGAAAAAGGGTTCGAGAAAATGGTGAATTTTCAGCGCGCTCCGGGCCATGTCAGAGATCTGATGTCACAATAGAGGCGAAAGAACGGGCTTAAGTGCGAATTTACTCTCGTCGGCATAAAATGTAGACAGCCGTGGTGATGAAAATGAGCGAAGATTTCTCGAAATTCAATGTAGGAGAGAGTAAAATTATTTGCGGGAGAAGGGGCATTTATTTATGTAATGGTGACAAAGGAAAGCAAAAAGCTACAAAATTTTCGTCTAAATGAAAAGGATCAAGCAGGAACCAGTTGCTGACTACAGACGGCTTTTCGCTCTAATAACGGCAAACTTTACCTGAATTTTTTACCATGGTTTAATATTATGTTGAAAATTTCAACGAATTTCCAAAGACTCTGAAGTTTTAATTATTTTCAAGATTGTGAGAGGGTAAGATAATCATTCCTGCGAGTCAATCTTGCCCTAAGAAGGATATTGGTGATTGCAGTGAAACCGGCTAGAGTTTCTTCTCCCACATAAAGAGAGATCTCGTCTTAGTCAACTAGGGGTGCGATTTGAGATTGTCAGACAAAACACAACAATTTTTCTCTAACAGCGGCGGTTTCATCATCCTGAATATAATATTTTACGAAGGATCGGAGGTCCATTTTGAGCGGTCCTCTTTTCGACCGAAATTTTAAATAAGCGCCTGGGTGCTTGATCGAAGAAATACTGTAAGCGCTTAACATCATTTTCTTGGCTCGCTGCAGGTTGTTTGGTGCGTATTGCTACTGGATGTATTATACTCAATAACAACCGCGACAGTTTGATAGTGCTAATGAATAACGAACAAAAATTTGAACTCACGACGTCAGTTAAAACGAGATTTCTCTTAGATTTTTTTATTCATTTATTTGTTTATCTTTTTACCTGTTAGACTCTTTAACAAGTTTTGGGTGGCAAAGGTGCCGTTTTACCTAAATTGAACTCCGTAACGAGCAACTCTGAACTCCCCTGGAGCTTGCAGTTCTATGAAATGCAGCGCCCGCGGCAGGACAGGATGCAAATGACTCACACTTTGTTTTACGACCATGATGCAACACGATCAGAGTGCGGACACCGCCTGCGCCCGCGGGAAAAACAAACCGAATCCCGTGTTCTGATTAGCTACCCAACCAGACAAGATAACCGCTCGCCCACTTTGATCGTGCTTAAAAAATTTACGAGGAGCGGCCTCACATAGTCCGTAATTCTTTGACAATGTCAGTGATGAAGTAAAAAACAGCAGTAGTCAAAATAAAGTAAACATACATGACTCTCGAGGGTTTTTTGTGCCACAAACACAGTTACCTTTCTTTCCAGGCTCTTGAAATAAAGAAATCATTTTTAATTCAAAAAAGCGAACTCAGCCAATATCCAGCCATTTTGATCTCAAGCTTGGTCATTAACACGCATTAGTTGATTTCAGCTCCACAATGCAGTAAACAACATGAACAGAAAACCATTAGACAAGTCCTATTTTGGCAGCTTCACGCCGAGCGCTGGCACAGTTGCACACGATTACACTACCATACCTAAAAAGCTTAATAACTTCCGGGAAGAAATTAATTAAGGGTTATTATTGTAACTCTCAGACTTTCTGTAAATTTTTGTCGCCTCAAGGAGTTTGAGGCGACATGCCGTATTGGCTGAAGTGTTATTTTTTTGATGTGTTGAGGTATTTGCAGAACCGAATGCCCTTTGACAAAGATGACCTCTTAAGGACAGACCATGATCAGGTGATGAATGGGTGATGGTACATCATGAAAAGGAGTTTCCAACCGAGACAATGATCTCTCGTACTTAAAATAACAAATTGCAACTTGGGATATTTGTTTAAGGAATTATTCCAAGAAGCTTGCTTTTCGGAATGGCTTCGCGTCCTTTTACCAGTAAGAATTTCTTTGTCACATTGGCAGCCATTGGTAAATAGAGGATGGCTTCCTTCCTTCTCATTCGTTTCAACCTTTCTTAGCGACTACAGCAGAACCAATCAGCTTTCTTATCACCACTGAAGCACACATTAATGTCATGAGAATAAAGGAAATGATCACCAACTATCAAGAAACTCTTAATTGTTAGACAAATTCTCCATATCAGCACCTTAGTTAATGTACAGAGAACAGTATGGAGAATATAAATATTGATGTTAGGGTGTAAAGGGTTAATATGGATGACTATTAGTTAAATAGCAAGATACATGAAGCAACATGTTATACCCTCATGAACTTCAATCCATAGAATATCGTTTATCATCGACGGTTATTTTAAACTTCTGACGTCTAAAGCTAACCCCACACAATTATTCTTTAAAAGAAGAGTATATAATTACTTATTTATGATATTTAAATAACAATGAATTTAAATTAATACAATAGAACCCTGCTTACTTGATCTTGGTGAAATCAAACCCAGTGGTAGAAACTTGAACAAGACCCAACTTCCCTTGATGCTATATTTTCAGTCATTTACTATCAGCAAACTCAAACCCCCTCTAACTTGAAGCATTTTTTGTTTCCCTTAGGAGGTCAAGTTCGCAGGGTTCTACTGCATCAAGAGAAAATGGGAAATAAGGGAAGGGGAGCTTAAGGACAAATTTTTGCCGTCCCATGTCAAGCACCCCTCTTCCTCAATTAAACCCATTCTTGTAAATCTTCCCACATGCATGGTAGTTTCCTTTTTCATGTTCCAATTCCTCTTTTTCTATCACATTTTCTATTTAAGGTAAAAGCAAAACCTCACCATGCTTTGTAAAAAGGACTCTTAAAAGTTCCCTTACTCTGTTCTCTTAATTACAAAACTAACAACACTATAAGAAAATTAAAATAGATAAAAAAAAAGCCTAACTGGAAAAATATTCAATGTTACTGCTGCAAGTTACAAAAAATTTTATGTATCCTAAAAAAAATAGCCAATTCACTGCATCATCCACCTCTCAACTTCAAACAACTAATGTACCCAAAAATTTCAGTTAAAACTGGAATTTCACCTGTGTGAATGTTTTTTGTTTCTTTTTTCAAGAAGATTTCAAGAAGGAAAATGCTGTTTGTTCAAGAATTTCTGACCCACCATTCAGGACTTAAAAGAATCCACCAAATCAAGACCTTATATTCATTGCTGTTTTGTCTGAAAAATAAATCTCAGCTGCCACATGTCACTGATTGAAAATGGAATGCCCACCAATAATGAAATCTCAGATAAATGTCAGTAACCAAGCATCTTCTGCAGACCTTCCCCTCCCCTAAACTAACATTAACCCTATAACTTGTTTTTTCGAATTGACTGTTGTGGAGGGGGGGGCAGGTGTGCGGTTGCTTGGTTACAGACATTGATCTCAAAGCTCCACACCCTGACTCTCTTCTGTTTTTTGCATTTGAACCCTGAACCTAAATTGAAATTACCATCAAGTTTATATGGAGAAGGGTTTCCAACACCACTCCTCTCAAATCTAACTGATTGGTGAGATTAAAAGCTGTACAATGTACTCAGCTCTGCATGATTGAAAGTTGGTTTTGCAACATACAGCCTCATAAATGCAACTAAATACATGTAAAATTGATGCTAGTTGTCAACATAAAATCCTACAACATTTTTTTGCTTTTTGTTATTCTTGATTCTTGAACAAGCTGTAGGTCTGATCAACACTAGGAAATTGTTTCACCTTTCTAGCCTAATGTCACATCTAAGTGTATGCCTAAGTTTACCTTTAGTCTAATCAGTGACTAGATACCTTAAAAGAAAATAGAAATGCATAAAGTTATTGTTCGAACTTTATGATGTGCTCAGTGCTGTTCTCAACTCCAATCTCTTTGCAATCACATAGCAGAGCCAGGAAGCAAGTGAAACATCTGCCAAATGCACTAGCAAGGCCAACTCCCCTGCTGTAATCAACTTTGCTCAAATGTGATGGCATCGATATCAGTCAACACTTCTGAAGACAACTGGGCAAGATTACTTGAACAACTTTCTTCACATCCTCAACGACTTGACATGGTGCCCAGTGCCCCTCAGACTAAGACTGATTCCCCCACACACACACAAATTTAGCAAATGAATGTAATCACTTGGCGGGCCAATCTGTTTTGGTTGCTAACCAAGAACTATGATGGATACATGATTTTTGTCAGTCTTTAGCAAATGGAAAACCTGGAGGCTTTGTTGGACGGGGTCGTACCCCTTCGAAAGCATCATGTGCTTGGTGAGCTGAAACAAATAAGTTTGCAAATTAATTTTATATCAAAATGTTAAGCGGGAGACAGGAGCACAAAGAGTGGGCGAAGGAAAGGAAAGAGGAAAGTAGAGAAAGAGAGAAGAAGGGGGGAGAGATAGGGAGGAAAGAAGGGGTAAGGGAGGGAACAAGGAAGTAGGAGGAAGAAGCAGGGAAAGGAGGAAGGAATAGAGATAGGAAGGAAGTATGTAATGGTGGTAGGATAGATATATCAGAAGAAAGGACCAGAGGAGGAAGAGAAAAAGGGGGAGGAATGGAAGGTGAGAAGGAGAGAGGACTAAGGTAGATAAGATTAACAAAGGAAGGGAAGGAGGGAAAGAAGGAGGGATGGAGAAGACAATAGGGAAGGAGGATAGGAATGAAGGAAGGGAGGATGGATGAACATTTCAGGAAGAAGGGAGCAAGGGAGAGAAAGGAGGAAGGAAGGGAGAGGAAGAAGGAAGGAAGGGAGAGAAAGAAGGAAGGAAGGGAGAGAAAGGAGGAAGGAAGGGAGAGGAAGAAGGAAGGAAGGGAGAGAAAGAAGAAGAAAGAAAGGGAGTATGGGGGGAAAGGGAGGAAGAAATTGAGAGGGGAGGGGAAGAGGGCTGGAATGTGGACAGAGACTCATTTCAGAATGAACAGAGGGAGAGAGTGAGAGTGAGAGATGGACAGTTGATGGAAAGGAAGAAAGGAAGAAAAAGAAAAGGTGAATGGGGCAGAACAATAAGTTACAATGTAGGAGAAATTGATTATTAATAACTTACATTTGTAAAAATCATCAAAGAATTCAACATCCTTAACGAGATCTCTCACTTTATTTAGTACCTGTTTAGAGAAATATTGATTTAATTAACATTTTCAACAACTGGAAGGTTTTAAAGGGATCAGAAGCTGCTTCTGTGCTAGTATGCATTCAACTACATAATTATGGAAAACTGCACATTAATACACAACATACTATATACCATTACACTTGAAGAATCTGAGAACATGTTTCAATGTAACCCTGACTGTGTAGAAACAAAAACCTACTGTTGCATCCTCTACAGCCTTTGCATTTGCATTCCAGATTTGGATGATGTCATCTCTCTCGCGCACACTAATGCTTATGCCGCAAACTTCGTCATCTGGAAATGAAAGAAAAACAAACAAGCAAATCAACTTATGCGTATGAGTAAGACTACAGTGTATTCAATTCATACAGGATTTGTACCCTCTTTCAGAAACAAATTTCAAGGACTTTTTGAGGACTCAGATTGAATCTTCCAGGACTCTAAATTTTACCTTAAACCCTTCAAATTCCCAAGAATTCAAAATAAATTCTCCTGATGATCTCCATAAATCTCCTACAATGTAAATTCTGAAAACTTAATTGCTTGAGTGAAGCAGATTTCCAGGACTGGAAAGTTCTGAAAAATGCCAAAGTATAATACCAGGACTATCCAGGTTTTCCAGGACCCATAGAAACCCTGTTATGAAAAATAATTTATCAACCCCAGTAATGGTGGGGGATCTAAAAGAATTTTTTTTTTTTTTTGGGGGGGCAAGTTGACAAATTCAGTTGGGGGGGGGGGCTGGTCCAAAAAAAAAATCTCCAGATTTGAGTTTTCCAGAGGTTAGCATCTCTGATGTTATTCCACCCATCCAGATGTCTCTGTGTTTCTGATGAGTCTACTTCCTGACAGCCTTCATCTTGATGACTGACTGCTGTATATTGCTTGGCCTTTGAGCCCAAATCTATATTCAGTGTAAGTTAGCTTCAGTTGGTGAATCATTCAAATACACATACTTTTAAAGTGTACCAAAAAGACAATGAAAGGAATTCACCATGCAATGAACAACAGAACAGTACCTTCTCGAACATTGTCATTAAATTGTTCACCAATAGCTGCCAACAACAATTCTTTCCATACATTATCCTGTTGATAAAGCAAAACACAAAAGTCATGTTCCTTTAAGCCCTTGGAGTGACTGCATGACTTCTAATTTCTTGATACAGTATAACCATTGAATCAGATACAATTAGGTTGTGAGAATTGAGGAAATTATCATCAATTTCAGAAGTTCCTGATTGTCAATCAAATTCTCCTTGTCCACAGTGCAGAGAGTGTGAAGGTTTTGGTGTAAAAGGTTAAACCATGAAGCTCAGCAACCATTCATCCCTTTTTTTGGCTGACAGGAGCAATCTACAAGCTCTCTCCTGAGAATGCTGCAGGCTTGTATATGTATTTTCAGACATCATTTTTTTTTTTTGACTGAACTGAAAAATTTTCATATTCACTCAATTTCTGTGACTTTCCCAAACCTCAAATCAAATCAAAATGATATCAGGAAATTCCATGACTTTCCAGATTTCCCAGAGTTGTCAAATCCTTGATACTTTGTGGGTTTTGCACTCATATTTGTTAAATTAAAATATGAACAACCTGTGCAAGCTGGAATGCAAGCACAATTTGTGTCATGCAGCCTGCTTATTTGACAAGTTTATTAATTTCCCTGTGGCCCTCTCCGCAAAGTATACAAAAGAAATTGTTTTGTGAGTATTCCATGTATGGTTCAGTGTAGAATATAGAAAGCGTATGTAGATCAATACCAAACAACTTATTTGCCTTGTTCAGGTACAACATAGTTTGTCAGTTCAATGACTTACTGTATTATGTTTGACACAACGCATTTTCCAGTATCCACCATTAACATTCTGTTTGTCTTCCCTAATTAAAATAAAACATGAATATAAAATCATATCATGAATAAAATTTGAGAAAATATAAATTTTTGTAGCTCACGGCCATTAAAGCAGCTTCTGAAGTCATGGACAAAAAAAGACTCAGATTACAGAAGACACTGAAAAACAGATGACAAAGAAAACTGCAAAATATAGAATTTAATAAAACTGATTTAATTTATTTCAAAGGTCAATAGGCCACTAATGGGTTATTTAAGCCTTTAACTCCCAAGATCTGATTGTTATTTTCCTCTCTAACTGTCACACATTTCCTTGTAAATTAGTAAGAGAATTTGGTATTAGATCAAGATAAAAGCTTCTACCTGATAGCTTTGAGTATTCTCATTACCTGTTTGCTGGGTTATGTGATGCTTTTGGGGATATTGAATTACCTCTGGGAGATAAATGGTTAAACCATGTAACACTGCTGACCCAAACTAAAAGGTTTTTCTTTTATTTGCCCCCACCCATTGATCCAACCTCATCTTTTACTCAAAACTATAGGATAAGTATTTATTATTATTATTATTATTATTATTATTCAAGTGTATCAGATGTGTTTTAATCATCCTGTGCTTGTACAACATGCTGTAAATCAACAGAACCCAGAATGTGAGCAAAAACTTTCAGCTGATCTACATTGATGCAAAAATCTGGTTATTATTTTTGCTTGAAAAATCTGTGATCCAAGAGCTTTCTAGGGCCTTTATGTCACTGGTCTCGAGATCAATTCATCCCCCTTTATTTAATTTATGAGAGATGCATACCAAAGTGGTTTCCTCTCTCCTCTCATAAAATGATAGCTTGTTCTAACATCAAGTTGTGAAGGCAAAGGTATATTGTTGAAGACACTCCAAAAACTCTAGGAATTCAAAAATGAGTGAACAAATGTCAAATTAGTAAATATAGTTGTTAACAGTTACATGAGGTACATGTATATGTGCAGGCAGTACAGGCATGCATGATGATAAAATGTCCCATAAAAGATTTTTATAACAGTACACAACTTTCCATTTGCATTTACGAATCATCTTTTATCAACTCTCTCTTCATATATAAGGATCGAATTAATCCACCGACAGTCAATTGAGACAAATGATTGATCACGTATATTAATAAAAATAGAGAAAACCAATATACATTATAAAATACATTTGCAAACACAATCACTTTACCAGCAAAATTTCGAACGCAACGAATAATTTTTGGAAGAGATTTTCGCTAATTAAGAGTCCATTCTAAGTCTTATCGAGTAAATAACGTCATCTTCTTATCAAATCAAACAGGCTCATAATTTATTCACTCCCCTTGTCAAAGTCTAGACTCTGGAAATTGAAATATATTTTAAACTGAACGAATATAATGCGCGCACACCTTTCCGCTAAAAATCAAATATAACGTTACAAAATCACAAAATGCTTGTTTCTTGACACCGTTCAAAGGTTAGGAGAGGAACACGCGATTCTCTGTCGGATGACCATTTTAGATTTGACAGTTCGAATTACTCTCTCGTTTTTTCGGGTAAAACATGAACTTTGTCAATTAACCATAACCTGAAAAACGTACAATACCTGGATTGTGTGAGCAGTGTAAACCTTTCGGAGATTTGCCGCGTACTCTGCCGCTGTCGCTCCACGAACATATCTAGAAACAAATAATCATTACTTCGCAAGCATCCGAAAACAATAATATTGTTAAGTTTGGAGTTGCTCTCACTTATCATGCCATAGAGTCCAGGCTGAATTTAATGGGATTCCACTCTTTTCAGAGCTTTCTAATTCATTCAACGATTGCATTGAAAGATGAGGTGAATTTCTGCCGGTTTCGACGCCATCATTCTCCATCTCGTGGGAGAGATCGGCCAAAAAAACACTTGATATTACTGGAGAAGCTCCTTGCTCGACCGCCATTTCTAGCGACGATCTCGGAACCACAACAAATGACGTCATAAATCTTCCATAATATCACCTTATCACCTGGGGTCCCGCTGGGGATGTTTCGGTTTCCGATCGATCTTAACTAGAACTGATTTTTCAACATAAAAACACAACATAAAATTACCTTATTGTGAAACGAAACTACTGAAATTATCAAAAAATATATTTAACAGAATCGAATAAAGAAATATGAAGAAAAAAAATGACTCCCTGTCCATAGTCCGTCGTGACCTCTATACCAAGGCCAGGATACCAAGCTACAATCGAATCTAAAATGGCGTCTTTAGCTGAGCAACTGCGTGCGTTATCGAATCCAGAACCAAGTCGTATCGATTTGGATGAAGACGAATTTGATGTCACAAGAGCACAAACAATCAAAAAGGCGATCGACAGCGAAGACTTTGAAGATCAAGAAGCCCCGGTCGTTAATAATTTACGTAAGAAAACAGCCACTTTGTTACAAGATGTCGACAAGAAGTATGCTGGGCACAAGATTTCACGAGCTCAACTTGAAGCCTCACGAGGACACGACGCTGGTTCAGACGAAGAGGAGGAACATGACGAAGAAGAGGAATCGGAGAGTGACTCTGCAGGTAATAAAAAAAACTCTCTGTGGAAGCCACTGTAGTGAAAATTTAATCTCGTGTGGACGTCTCGTGCTACGTTGTAGCTTAAATGAGCACGTGCATACATAACTCCGTGCATAATAATCATGTTGGCTCCAGTTCAGACGGTGTATTTTACATTAAATGAAAGGGAAGCATATAAATAAGGTTATATTTGTAATGTAGCCGAGAACTTAAAGGTGGTAACTAGGTAAGCGGCACGAAACACAAGGGTATGGCTCTTCATACATCTCGTGCGGGTTATTAGGGTGGTAAGCTTGTAGAAAGTGTGGTCTATTTGGGTAAAAAGCGCCTTAAACACAAAGGTTTATTCTTTAACATTAAATTGGTTAATATTTGCATAGTGGTCTACAAGATACAATTTGAAAGATTTCTTTATTTAAATATAATATCCTTGTTTATAATTAGATTATTTGAATGGAGCTGGAAAATCAGAAGATGATGATGATATCAACAGTAAGGAAGATAATACTGATGGAAGTGAAAATGAAGTGGAAGGTGTTACTTTTTCTGATGATAATGATGATGAAAATGTTGATAATGATGAAGAAGACAGCCTACATTCAGGAACTGAAAATGAAAGTGAGGAAGAATTCGCCAGTGCGGGTGAGGATTCAGACGTAAATGGAGATGTTGGTAAAAGTGATGATGATATTGAAGAAGATGAAGACATGGGTAATAATACCATTCAACAGTTTTCCTCAACAAGTCTGAAAGAAGACATTGAGAAAGGAATTGCTGCAAAGCATCAGCTCAGTAAGTTAAAAAATTGTTAGGGAAAGTAACTGGTTTGGAACCCAACAGATTTCTTGTTATAGGGTTTTATGACCTTTTTCAGACCTCACCCTGCACAATATACAGAGGCATTCTAATCATGTTGAGCTAAATTTCTTTTAAAAACTTATTCCTATTAATTTATCCAAGGTAAAAGTGAAGAACAGTTCCCAAAAGATACTGTCCACCAACTGGCGACCAACAGTTGGCCAACAGTTGGCAGACAGACTTTCCCAAATTGGTTCAATCTCATTTATCCGCCATATTGAAAAGTTTTTCCAGTTCCCAATCTCCTAAATGCACTGCCTCTGAAACCCTTTAAAGAAAATCTTTATTTGGTTAGAACTATTTGACCTGTTGGTTCATTCACTTGCAAAATGTAGAAAAGGAGCCGTTTTGTGTATAAACAAGGATATAGGAAATAGTTATTTTGGTACTTACAGTCAGGAGATGGGTTAAACAAGCTTATTTTACCATTCAAACAGAATCAAGTAGATAGGTACAAACAATGCAATCAATATTTTCCTATTTACTGTTTCAACTGGAAAAGTTTTGACTCTGTTTTCAGTCAATTTTTGGTCTACTTAACTATTACCTTTATCCAATCCCAAGTTTGAACACACAGTTACCTTAAAGGAATGTTTATTGTCAAGAAATTTCCAGTTTAAACTGCACTACTGTTGTATATTTTTTAGCTTTTCTACCCATTCAAGCCAAGATTTTAGTCATTACCTGTACACTTACATGTTCATTTTGTGTAGATTTTTTCCAGATGAACATTGTACTCTGCTTGACCTTGAGAAGGATTTAAGCTTAGGTTGTGCAATTTTTAGTCAGAAAAATGTGTTTATTCTCACCATGAAGACCTGTAAACAGTTGCATAAATGCACATTTGCATTAGTGGACTGGTAGCATAGATGTGATCATACTTAAGTTCACCACTTTTTTCTCTCTGATTTGTCTCATTTTTTTTTCAATTGTGGACCTCTAGGAATCATGTACCAAACATCATTGTGTTGATTTTTATCATCATGACTGTAGCTTTAACCAGTGTACACCACTCCTCTCTTTTCTGTCACTCACAGTACATGTACACACACAGCTGTTTAATCTCTTATTGTGAGCTGAAAGAACTTGTGCCTTTTTTCGGTAGGTTTGTGGGATAGTTTCCTTGAGATGCGTATTCGACTACAGAAAGCTCTTTTGATTGCCAACAGACTTCCACAGCATGACCAGCATGCATCCTTAAATTTCTCTGGAGACAAGAACCTAAAAGAAACCTATAAAGAAGGTAAACAAATACTGTTCTGTTCTCTTGTACTGTCCTACTGTACATGTGGTACCCTGCTCCCTTGTGCTGTCACCGCTGTGTCTGTGGGATAGTAGAACAGGGTAATTTGGTATCATCAACTGAGTTGATAACATGAATTGGTCAGAGTAAAGAGTTTCAAAGCTGACATGTTGATCCTTTCATCGAGAGCAAATGGAGGAAATGTGGGTTGTGTGAGTGTTTATATGCAGAAAGTGGAGCTATGCTATTGGTGGGAACATGGTGATGAGAAAACAAGAATAAATTAGTTGAATGTAAAGTGTTTGTTGATGCTGTGGAGATTAAGAGTGGTGATTTGAAAGATAAATTTTGTTCTAGAGTTTCGCAGCTTTCCAAACTGCCTTGATGTAGGGAAAGGCAGTAATCCACCATATGTTGCTTAGAATGATTAGGGAGATTATGGAGTCTAGAAACTGGTCTGGATGCATCCTTCTCATTTCTTTCTGCATGATGAAGGTGTTCTTGGAATCGATCAGGAGGATTACTAATGAGCTTTTTAGTGTCAAAGGGTTAACCTACCACAACATACTTGATATCAGTTCTTTAACATCATTCTGCAGTTGGTACATTTTCAGGCAATGCACTTGTTGCTATAGTAATCAGTACACTACAGGAGCCATACAATAACCTACTTGATTTGTTCTTTTATTTACAGGGAGAAAATCAGTGGCAAAACTTCTTGGAAATCTTCTGTGGATACAGGAAAAGCTACTGGACCAAAATCCAGACACAAAGGACATTTTATACTCAGGAAAGGAGTCAAGCAAAAGCGCTGGTCAAAGCAGTGATGAGGATGAGGAAATACCCAGTGATACAGAAGATGAGAAGAGTGATAATGATGATGAGAGGAGTGATAATGATGATGAGAAGAGTAATAATGAAGATGATGAGGATGATAATGCTAGCAACAAAGATCAATTAAATGGTAAACAAACAGAAGGAAGCCTGAAGCTTCCAGCAAAAAGGAAACATGAGTTGGTAAGGTCATTATTTTAAAAGCATGTTTACTGCACCACCTGCACATGTATCACCCACAAAGTTGTGCATCATTATTTTTAGCTCCCCTAGCAAAACTTCAATGAAAACCTTGTACACCGTCATACACTCCCTCCCAGCCTAATGCTTATGAATGTGGAAAATAAAACCTGCAGAGATGAACAGAAAATAAAGCAAAGCAAAGTAATGCTTATACTGTTGTCTGCTCATTACTGTATACAACGTAGGTCACTGTTGTGTTGCATTGTAGTGTACATATATACGAACTCAAGAAAGAAATTTCAGCTTTTATGTCACTATCCTACTTGTATATTAAGGAATTTCTCTGAATTTCAGGTTATGAGAAGAATTTCCAAATTAAGTCTTGAAAAGTTTTTCCTCTCTGGGATTTCAATTTCAGTGTTGGAAAGTAATTTTGGATACATTGAGAGCATGATTTACATGTACATATATGTATAAATGCCTTGTAGTGTGAAACAATTTCAGGTTAACATGATTTCATGCTGTTTGATTTCTGCATATAATTTTCTTAGCATAATGAGTACGATCATATGCAATGTTCCGGGAATCATGGGAAAAACAAACTACAGACTGTTACTCATTTTTACCTGAATTTTTCTTTCTCAATAAACATTGATTTGGGAGTTTAAGTGTTATGATTTAGATGTAGGTGCCTAATTTGTTTTCTTTACATCCCCAGTCAACATCAGAATATGCAGAATGTATTTGTAAGCGGCATGCTGCCTTTAAGGATTTCAGAGACTCTACAATATCAAAATGGAGTGAGAAAACTCGACTGGCTTCTGGAAAAATTAACAGCAAGGTACGTGTTACCATATTTTCATTACAGTTACAATAATTTATTTATTATTTACAAATACGTTAACATTATGGTTGAGTCTGAGGAAAGAGTATTTTATGAGAGAGTGGGGTTTTTTTTTTTTTCAATATTTTATAACCCATTTACAGAATTGGTTAAGTATCAGTCAATGAAATAAGTGTGTTCAATTTTCATCTATGATATCACTTATCTCTGCTGTTTAATTGTACATTTTGTAACTAACTTTATTTATGTTACCTTTCTCAGACTTTTGGTTCTTTTGACCGCTCTGCACTGGCGCAGATAAATCATGTGAGTTATTTTTGAAACTTAAGATACTGTACATCTTTTTTTTTTTATTATTTAATATATAATTATTATGTCATTAGAGTCTTGGAATGAGAATAATAAATTATTTTCTTCTCTAACAATTATGATCAAATTAGCCCAGCTCTTTAAAAATAAACTAATACAGTTGCCTTTTTTGTTTTTGATTTCAGATTTTATCTGATAAAGGTCGTCTCATAAAACGCACTCAACTGAAAAGGACCTCATATAGAGTCTTAGGAAAGTCTGAAAAAGAGGAAATCCAAGATATGGACTCAAACAAGGTTTGTTAGTCATAAAAACTGCAGTCTGTTTTTATCAGTACCTGAGCATGAATCCATCAATCATAGAAAGTTTAATATGGAAAACAAAAATGCTGATGTATTTTTTTTTTTTTTATGTGTGATACTGATTGCAGGAACAGTCAGACTTGCATTTAAAAGACTACGACGAGGAGATATTTGATGATGATGATTTTTACCATCAGGTAACTAAAACTTCCCTTGTATAGAGTGTATCTAGAAGTTTTTTGCAAGAATCCTTCTGTCACAATCTCTCACAATTTTCATAGCCATCTCTGTCCCTTCGGCTTTCAATGCAGAGAAACTGATTATCCACAGTAACTCAACCCATGACAGAAACCCTTCTCCTTACAAACTTGAATAGTTATGTCTTTTTTTTCTTGACTTCTTTTTCTTATTATTTCTTGTAATTTTTACTATTTGTTTGCTGGGCTGTTTTGTAGTAACACCTTTTATTCCTTTTTTAATTAACAGCTTTTAAGGGAATTTATAGAACAGCGAACCAGTGGAAACACTAATAATCCTATTGAGATGGGAAGGTAAATATACCTTACAGTGAATTATTATCTGCCACATTTTTTCCCAAGTTGCCACCTTAAGTGATATTGATCTCCATTTCCACACACGCCCCATACCAGTTATTTATTTATTTGTTTTGTTGTTTTTTTTAATTTGCCTCCCCCCCCCACAAAAAGGACGAAACCACGGTGTAATTTCTTGCTGGAAACCACATGCGATCTTCTTTTCCTTTGGAACAGAATTAAATTTTTCAAGCGTGAGTCAAAACCTTTGACAAGGAGTTTAAAGATGGTCACCTGCTGTTGCTCATTCACGATATTGTAGTCTCCTTCTTTTAGGCTAAATTTCCAGTCGCATTGGCCACTAGCCAAACGTATTTTATTATTTTGTATATTCGACCTGTTCTCGGGTCTGACACAGTGATTGCAGACTTCGCTTCCAACAAAAATTTTCTTTGTGTGAATAATGATGTTCTTTGTCTTCAGGCAATGGCTAGCACTTCAAAAACTACGAAGAAAAGTGAAAAAGAAAGTTGATACGAAGGCCAGTAAAGGCAGAAAAATTCGGTGAGTCTTAACTCTAGAGCCGCGAAAAATAATATGCATCTAGTTTCTCGTCATAGAATCACCCCTGAATCAACCAGTAAAGTTATGAGAATTAGGAAAATGATCGCCAACTAAAGATGCTCTCGATTGCTAAACACATTTTCCTGGTCAGTTTCATTAGAAATATTTACTTTTTTTTTTTTTTAATGTTAACCTACTTCTGAAGCAGTCTATAAGCGGAAAAAATTAAGGGAAAGAGTCACTGATGCAGATCATTTTTCAGTTCAGTTTCTCGTCTATATTACGTTCTGTGATTGGTTGTTCAAACTCGGCCAACGTGTCAACCTGTCCGATGCAAACTAATCGCGCACCTGCGTTTTCCCGTGCTTCGAGGACCTGGCTCGTTTTTACTTCAAATTCTCATTGGTTCCTCTAGATATTTCTCTTTATTCTGATTGGCCCTTAGCCCCTCGTTTAGCCTTTTGACATTGAGTCGAAAAGCGTGCTAACTGCGTGTTGTTCCCTACACTTTTCGACTGGATATGTGATCTAATAATGGACTTAACACTTTACACCCTAACATCAGTATGCATATTCTCCATACTGTTCTCTAGACATTTTCTGTGATGCCGACATAGAGAATTTGTCAAACAATCAAGAGCTTCTTTAGTCGGTGATCAGCTCCTTTATTCTCCTGACCTTCATGTTTGATTCAGGGGTGATATGGTAAGGAGAAATTAGATGCCAGTCACTCTTAGGGGTTAAAGGGTTAACCATATTCTTCCCTGTTACACTCAGATATGATGTTCACGGAAAACTTGTGAGCTTCATGGCTCCCATTGAGAAAGGAACTATGGCGGACTCTTCAAGGTTTGTAAATGGATAAAATATTTATTTGTTTTACTTGTTTATTTGCGGGATTGTTTGTATCTCTTTTCTCGTGCTATTTTTCTGGCTACAGTTTCCTTCTCCTACTCATTTATGAACCTCTCCGTTTATTTTACAAGCTATCGTGCTTCTTTTCCTTTCCCTCTACAGGAATGAATTATTTTGTTCCCTGTTTGATGCAAAACAACAGGAAGAGCCCGCTGATATCAACATTTTCAGATGAAGTTTCTGTGCCATTTCGATTAGTTACGTTAGTGAAACGATCGAGATATTCGCGAGACGTTCTTAATGAAAAGAATGAATTAAATTTTTACAAGACACGTACCATATATGATCTCATGTGAATTTCTTTCCAATTATCACAATGTATAAATGCCGGAATAACATTCTACTTAACAAATAGATTCCAAGCTGCCGTGCGTCTGTTCAGTAATAGATCACAGAGGACGTCAAAATGTGGTAAGAACATCAGTGACACACTTAGCTGCGCCTCGTGTGCCACTTTTTTGTTCTCACCACATTTTGACGTCCTCTGTGATTTATTACTGAACAGACGCACGGCAACTTGGAATCTATTTGTTTTATATAATAAAGAATTAAAATATACGGAAAAAAAGTTTTAATGATGCTGTCATCTATAGGTCTGTCCTCCAAGTGAGAACCAATCTGAATGCGTGCATAACTGAGCTTATTAAATAATAAACCGTATTTCAAGAATTTTTAAAAGACTGCCTGTTGATCATGAATCAGTTCAGCCTTCCAAAATTGAACAGGTTTTTATTTAAAAAAAACTAGGTATCACAATTGTCAAATAAAGGAGTGAGTGCTTCCGCTCTGTCGTAAGCACATGCGTCAGTTCCATCATCCCTCTAGTAAAGAATTACCATTCACTCATTTAAGGAAATGTAAAAAACATTTTGTGCGTCATGATATGCAAAATTGTCTGCGAAAGGTAACCCAGAATTATGGCTGGTTTCATTAAGTAAACGTTAATGCTTGTTAATTAAGTCTCTCAATAATCTGTGTAAGGCATTATTTGCGGGGAAAAAAAACATTAAGGACAAGGTCAGGCTGATTACTCACTAAAGCACACGATATACCAGAAACAAGACCCGAAAATTATGCTCTCTTATAAGTGGTTGCTTATTGAGTATGATAATGCAAATGAACACATGGCTGTTTGAAATAAATTGGAAAATTTTCCAGCTTGGGGCATGACTATTGACAAAAGTAATGGTAAACAATGCTGACAACTTACTTGAAGTAGCTTATTAAATTTTACAGGTCTGTCCACTTGTGTTGCGATAAAGCACGCAAATGTTTGTTCCTATGCCGTTTTTGATGACCGAAGAGCTACATTTCTTTGTATAATTAGAAATAGCGATTATTTTGGCAAATTGCAAAGGGGAACAATATCTGCCTTCAGCCCTTTTTTACGCGTAGTTAAAATATATTTGCGCTAATCGCGGTGTAGCGAGATTTTTCGCTGTTTTATTCGGGCTTGGTACAAGCTAAAATAGATTTTAAAAAGGTAAATTCAGAATTCCTTTTTCCCGTACGTAATTTTAGTAAACACAAACCGTTATACTTAATTCTACAAATATTACAACGTTTCCCATTAAAATCCTAAAAAAAAAAAATGGTTAATTAGACACTACAATATATTATTTCGAAGACAGTTCTAATATTCGAGTCGAAATGGCGGCTTGTAATAGGTGAATCTGGACGTCTCGGCAACTTACGCCGGAATTATATATTCGAGGACTTAATTAAGCCTTCACAAAGTCATTATTGTTTCAGTAGTCTCCTCGTAACATTCTAGATCATATTAATTAAAGTCGTAATGAGTAAAAAGCTAAGTGAAAGCAAATATCTGTTTATTTCCAATATTGTTATTTTCCATTCCAAAAAATGTAACGAGTGTAAATGGCGTGGCACGTAATATTTTCAAAGGCATTTGAAAAATTTAGTGGTGGTAAGCGGCTTACTTGGTTAGGTCACAGAATCAGTCGCCTAAACGTGAAAAATTAGAATCGTTCGTATCAATCCATAAAAAAACTGACACAAAATAGATATCTGTCGGCGCTAAGATACTAAGTGATATCACAAACACTGAGAGATAGAGAGCGGAAGAAACGATATCATCACTGCGGATAAAAGGTCGAAAACATGACTTTAATTATCTCAGTTTTCTAGATTGCTTAAGACTTCAGTTTTCTCGGTCAGGTTTGGATATTACCATATTGCCTTCAAAAACATAACGTGTCAATATCTCCAGGGTATGTTTATTTAATTTTATGGACAATGCTCCTGTGGGCGGCTGTAGACAAGCTATATAAACATACAACTTATGACTGCTAAGTGCAAGAGTCGTCAAAGTGCTGTGAACCATAAAAACGTGACGAGTGATGAATTATGCGTTATTGCAGAAGAGCTAAAAACCCACCATATTATAAAGCACAGTGTTCTTTTTTACGATTTGTAAGAACTGACTCGCTGAAAAGACTTCCTTTGATTATGCAGAAAAAAATAGTGTCGCTTTGATCTGAATTGAAGGTGCATTGTTATGTTTATGAGCAGTATCTTTTTCTGAGAACGTGACAAGGAGAATAACAGGTGAGCCACGAAATCGCATTATAATCTGCTCGCTGCGATCGGTCACAGGAACAGGTATAGACCATGATGTACACCGTTACCGAACCTCGGCATAATTTATCGCTTGGTTAATTTTCCGTTTGGATGTTGTGTTGACGACGCAATTGGTGTGATAACCACCATAAAAGAATCCGAGATATTAGTATCTAGAAGCTATCGAAGGAAGCGCTGCTCTGGGAAAATAAACATCGCTCAGAGATTAGATATGTTTTATGCCTAAACACAATGAGCAGTGTGGAAAATCTTGTGATGGAATCGATGCAAATACGGTACACACGTTCTACGCGAACTTGGAGGATTGTTGCAGTGGTGGCGTGTATTATTGCGATTGTCATGACGGCTTTGTTCCTTTGGCAGGTTTTAAAAAATGATGAAGAATGTGCAAAGTGTGGAAATGGTTATGACAGAGCTCCCCCGAAGAAGAGCGAACTGGATACGTATGGCTCACCTTGCCCTAAAACACCAGGAAAGCTAATGGCCTTATCTGAGAAACTACCGGAACAGCTCTTTACGGGGTTGAAGAAGATCGCTGATTATATCAGCTCTCGTGTTAACAAGACAGTAAACCTTCCTGCAATATCGGCTAATGTCTTCTATCAAGATCGTACTCTGTTGAGTCTTCATAAAGGAACTAAGGTCACAACACGCGAAGACATACCCGACGATAAAACCATTTACCGAATTGGTAGCGTCACGAAAGTATTCGTAGTGCTTATGGTGTACAAGTTTTACGAGGAAGGCCTGATAGATTCCCTCGACGATCCGTTGAGCAAATACGCTCCAGGATTTTACATTCAAAACCCTTTTACTGGAGAAAACGTGACGATAAAACAGATAGCAAGTCAAATGTCGGGGCTACCTCGAGAGGCGCCATGTTTCTATATTTGCCGTAATGATACTTCGGAAGAGCAGTTACAACTTCTTAAGAACCGCAGTCTCATACTGCCTCCAGGATCCATGCCGTCTTACAGTAACCTTGGATACGCCTTGCTCGGGAGATTGCTGTCTGAAAATCTCCTACAGAATCAAACGTTTGAGACTTGGGTGAAAGAAAACATTCTGAAACCTTTAAATATGACACGCACAGGATTTGAAATCACAGCGGACGTGCAGCAAAACATGGCATTTCCGTATTCGCCAAACGGAGAAATAATGTCGTTCATGAATATTTATTGGGTTGCACCTGCTGGCCAAATGTATTCAACGCTCGAGGACATGACGAAGCTCGGAATGACACTTGCACAACCGTCAAAACAAACCCTATTCCGGCCGGCGTCGCTCTGGGATATGATGTCAGCTGCGGATATCGCCCCGGATGGGACCACCATTTGGGGGGCTCCATGGGAGATGGAACTCCAGGAACATTTTATAGTTCGGCAAAAGGGTGGAGTCATTGACTCTTACGAAGCATACCTCTCGGTCGTTCCTGAGTTACAGCTGGGGGTAAATCTGTTCATAAGCACATTTCATTTCTTCAAAGGAGGGCCATCTATATCTAATAGAATAATTCACGACATCTATAAAATTCTTCTTCCAGTCATGAACCAAACTCTGGTTGATCTGGAGGGTTCGTCCGAATTTCCAGTGGATCCGAAGCCGTACATCGGAAACTATTCCGTAAACATTTCAGATGTGCTTTCACATGAGGTGACCACATACTCGGTGGAGATTACAGTTCAAGATGACATCCTTCAAGTACGCTTTATCAATCCTCCATATCAGAACTTCCACATTGTATACATTGGAGATAAATTGGTTTTCCAAGCAGAATTTAAATGGCCTTCTTCTTCGTGTTTTTCTGAAAGGATGGGTAGTTATGACGACTTACACTTTTTATCTTTCGCGGAGAATGGCGTTTCGCCCGGTTTCAAAGTTCCTGGGAAAGCGATGATAGCAATTCGCGTTTCATAATGCCGTCGCGAAGAGACAGCTTACCATCAAGGAAAAATTTGGATTTTTTTTTAAGTTCGTCATTTTAATCTGCTGTTATCCTCTCCTTTCCAGAGTCATTTTTGTCTCTGCTTGCTATATTAGAACCCTTATTGCTGATGTAATATATTATGGTCTCCTTCGAGTGGGGGATTTTTCAAGGCGCAAATATCTGTAGTGCCTTATTACTTTAACGATAAAAGTCTACCGTAGTTCATGCGCGTAACAGCATTTTATCAGTAATACTATCATTATTATTAATATTGTTATTATCATTATCATTTAATAATTTTCGATCGCTGAACATGATCATATTAAGAGCTTAAATGTGGAAATTTGTAAACTGTATTCACGATAGTCAACGACACAGTTGTGTCAGTAAGCGCAAAACTTTCTTTGTTTACATCATTGCATTATACTTCAATTCTTGAATGTTCTCCCACTTAACCGTGAAGGCGCGAAGATTGAGAACTCATTAAAGGACTGTAAATACATGGAAAAACTGTTGATTTATTATTGACATTATCGAGCAGTTGTGCAATAGTTCTCCTGAGAGTATTCAATACTTGACCCTTAGTGAGAGGGGGAAAAAAAAAGCGGGAGAGAAAAAGAAAAAAAAGTCTCCTTATCTGCAACGTGCGATGGATTTTCTTACAAATAACTATCATGGCAAAAGCATCCTCCAAGCTTCACATATCAGCTTCTTGATTATAGTGAAGTTAGGGCCTGTTTACATGGAGGTGGGGGACCCCAGGTGGGTGAGGTAACCCGCCTGTCCATATAATCTCTTATTTTATTTTGATCACATTTACATGATAGGTGCCAGGTAGGGTAACCCTGTCAGCCGGGGTGACAATTTGCCATGAAAACGTCTCAAGGTGGGGTAACCCGCCTAGCCGGGGTCGCGTTCATGGCAAAAAGCTCAAAAGCGAAACATGTATGTTTTAAAACTTTGTACATTTCCTAGCCGTCTCATGGCAGAAACCTCCAGACACCGCAACGGACACACAAGGAGTGCAAAATGTTCACATTTCGGAATATTTAGCGTTGTAAATCGACCATATTTGGTTTCCCAAACTATTCCGTATAACGTATTAAGTCAACGGTTTCTCGCGAAACCAAACACCGCGTAACACAACGCGTGACGCTTTCATAAATAAATACATATGTGTCCGAGAATTTATCTTTCGTCTTTTTCGAGATGTGAGCTTGAGACGCCTCTGCTCGAACTCCTTAATTGCAAGCGCAACAACAACCTCAAGAAACCTCACCCCAGCACCCCGAGGTTGTAAGATTTCATGTAAACGCGTTTTATTTTTCGACCACGGCTAAGCGGGTTACCTCGCCTACCTGGGGTTCCCCACCTCCATGTAAACAGGCGTCTCAGATGACTGACTCCATTTCCCCCATGACCTTCATGGGGTCGCAAATAATTTGGCACATCAGGAGAGGTAGTGATATTTTTAGCAGAGATTTCCCATGTCTGAGGCCACGTCGTGTGAAATGTTTTCTCAGTTGAAACATTTTTCCGGCATTGATTTGCTTAGAACTTCTCAAGTCTTAAAATGGATTTCACATTCTGGGCCTTCAAACTTCGCAGTGGATTTGATTTTTAGTTTTGACCTCTGCCTTTCAAGCAAATCTTAGATCCAATACACCCTGTTTTCATGTTACAAACTGTTTGTCAATATTATATATTTGAAAGTGTTCGTCAATTCTAAGAGCCTTGTTAACTTGAAACATATTAAGGAGTTTGTGATCGGTAATTGTCGTGACGAAAGCGTTACGAATTTGTGACAACTTCCGTCACAAAATACACGTCACGGCCGTAGGACTTCTATTTCCTCGCTCAAACTGACAGGATGCAGCTCTCTTAAATAGCGACTGGTTATATTCAGAACGCTCAAAAACCAATTGTCTTGCTTTTCTGTCGGACGATTTTCATATAATTGGCATGGGATGCAAATCTTCATTGATATGCAAATGTTACAGAGGGATGCCATTAAAATCTACCTGGGAACAGTCTCGGAAAATTCCAATTTTTTTTAAAGGGTTGGGGGAAGTTGCGTGACCTTGCTGTCAAAAATATACAATTTCGGACAGGGCTGCGAATGGAATCAGGAACTGGGAATCGGAGAAGAGGAATTTAAAATGAAAAACAATCTTTTACAATCTCATAAGTTTTCGTTATAATGGTAACGATATGATAATACATGATAATTCTGATAAAGATAATAGCTTAATATACAATAATTCTTTATGATTATGTCCTATTGATCATATGAGTAGCCGTCAAAAAAGGAGTATTTTTTCATTTCTTCGTAAACGCGGTTCTTTTGTTCAGTGGTCCACTCTATTAAGTCACGTGTCATTGATGGGACTGGATCTACAGTGGCTGCGCAGTCCTTTATATAACGCTCTGAGCAAGAGATGCTCAGGAATTTGCAGATTTTTCTCAGAGTGTCGGCAGGATTCTTGACAATTTCTAGACTTGGAATGTCGATAACACTGCCGGGAAACGCTTGCCTGGCCTTGTTACAACCTGCTGCCCAGCCGAAATAACGACTTATACTCTCGTCCAATATATAAGAAGCTTTAATCTGTGGATAACAGATAGAGATACAGCGTGTAAACCATCAGTTCATGGTTATAATAGGTTATAGCTACTTAAGGACCGTTTCCCATGTTTATTACATCCATTTGAAAACCACTGTTGATCCTTGAGATCTGATTGGCTCTCGCCGGTGCGATTTATTCGTAAATCATATTACTCTGATGCTATCTCATCTTTTTCCCAGCCAATGAAAAAAGCAACACTTAATCAAAACAACCAATTAGATTTAGAGGCTTGTGTAAAGTAACCAATCAAATCACAGGAAGATGCAAAACCAAGAAGTCATTACGTGGCAAATTTAGCAACTTTTGTCCCAAATACTCTTTTTCATATAATGAGCTCATTATTTTTATCATGTGGGCAGGAGGCGGGAGCGATAGAAGTTTTCAGGGGGAACGGAGATGGGGATTTGTCGTCTCTGACAGAGTATAAAGGGGGAGGGAAGGGGGAACATGGAAAACTGACTGCCAGGGAGGGGAGGGGAGGGGAGATCGTCAGAATGCTATATCCCGGAAAATTTAATCGGGATACAGCGAAAGATAGTGGCCGACCCCTGAAGCTTCGTATCTTGACATATCGCGTTTAGTTACGCAATACATCGCACATACCTTCGTTTCGTGTTTTCCCACTTCCCTTTTTTTGACTCTAGCATCTTGCAGAACCATGGTTGCAATATTGTCGAATGGATTTCGCACAACATGAACAAACTTCACCTTTGCGCCGGCGGCTTTCTCTAGGAGTCGAACTGCATCCACGGCTTTGTCTTTCCTCATTGTTCTCGCTGTAAAGGCACCTGACTTGTCTCCAATCACCTGAATCAAAATTTTAGGGATGGTTCGTAATACGATTACTGTCAGCGCAATTACAGACTGAACTACTTTTCTCTATCGGTATATCAAATTATGCTGTTGAAACAAACCGAGGGGCCAGTCCCTAACAACTGGTGGTCAACAGTAAATTTGGTTTCGCTTAACTACACCCAACCATTGGTTGAAAAAACCTTACAAAAAAAGACCCCCTATATGTCTCTTTATGTCTCCGATACGGGGCAGATGTACTAACCATTAAGTTATCGTCTTGGCGCATTCCTTTTCTTAAAACGAACCAACAAACAATTGAACAGAAAAACAAAAATTCCATTCAGCTGACCTTGATATACTGATCACACTGGCCCTGCCATTGATTTGGTACATAGTAGGAATATGGAGAAGTCACATTTACTACTCTTCCTTCAAATACACGCGAGCGTCTACCGTGGGCAACTGCGCTCTGCCAATCTCCAAATAACGTATCATAAAAAGCATATATCGAACCATTTAGCCACGTTTGGAGATCTCCTATCCATCTTGGAAAAGCCATTGCCTCATCGGAAACCACCATGTGTGGATGTGCATCTAATAAGGAGCCAAGAAGACTGTGACGACTACGCAGATATCCAATAAAAAACAAGATACTGTGTACGTGACCATAAGCTTTGTACAAGTCGTTCTGTGAATCTGTGCCATCTGAGAAAGACCGATGAACAAAAAAAACGTCAACAAAAGAGCAAAAAGCTGGGTTTGATACTTAAGGTTGCGAAGGACACCACATTGAACGAAAATTACATCAAATCTCACAGCAATACATTATTTCTAAGGGTTCAAAGACATGATCAGATAATACTTTACGAAGCGCGAAGCGATGGAAACATCTCTCATCGGTAGAGTAAGGTTAGTTATTAAGTTGTTGGTTGTTGAACATTTGTCACGACCGTGGAACATTCTGTACAATAATGAAGGTTTTCATAGCTTGCGCTGGCATAAAGTCTGACATAATTTGAGAAAACAAGCATAGTTTTTCCTATTTGTAAAAAAGTAGCACTGCTATATCATCCAAAATTTAAGTATATGTACCATCATCTGTAGTTGTTCTTTCGTTTTCTCTTGGTCCAGTGCGAAGTAGATCCTTTGGTTCGCTGTTTTCAGCTTGTGTCAGCAACGGTGCAGAATTAACCCCGCTATCTACTCCTTGATTTGAATGGAAGACAAGAATGTAGACAAGGTGAATAGAAAACCTCTTCTGCTGAAAGATGTGGTCATGATCCTGATAAAAGTGTCGTGTGGTAGGACGATCCGTCAAGATCAAAATGTCACCGCAAATTTTACTCTGGGAGGGTGAAATACTCAACCAGAGAGTGAATTTTAAAAAAGTAACCATACAGCTCAGTGTAATTCAAGATAAGCCTGGAATACAAATGGATGAAAGCTTAATGAAAAATTGATACAGAAAGGGCTCCAGACTTTCTTCTTCTTTTGAGTAACTACATACCATGTTATGAAGAGAAGCAAGCAAAACATTTACCTCGACTAATATTTGTGATATTTGTTTATTTGCCAAATTTTTCTGTTTCTTTGAGTTATGTTGTTTGTTTTTTTGTTTGTTCAATGTGAACGTTATGATACATCCGGCAAACAAATAACTCACCGTAGTCCTCGATAATCAGCTTTTCTTTGATGTAGAAAGCATCATCTCTCCATGTCACAAAAAGCACGGCGAGTCCAAAGCCAAAAAAAAAACCAAAAATCACTCCTCTAAATCTGGCTAACAGCCTTCGGATCATTATACTGCCTCAGTCTCTAATTTCTGTGACTGAAAAACAATGCATTACACTGTAAATTATACCAATCAAAAAATCCTTGCTCGAAAAAACCCCTCTCCCAGACGAAGGGCTAACCCTCGAACCGTCAGCTTTCGAAACTCTTTACGGTGGCCAATCGACATGATCAACTCAGCTGATAAAACCACCCCCCACCGACGCAGCACCATAGTTTCTTTAGATGGCGTAGAAGGCGTATGGGCGGCCGTCACCACCAAAAAAAAAGAATGTCAAATAGATCAGCAAATACAAAGCTGGTCTAAGGATCAGCGACTGCACCATCACATGGCGTAGTCGCTGTGTTGATGGTGAGAAAACTGACATCAGCGATCTGTTTTGACATTTTTCAATCAAAGTGATTATCGAAATGATTTAACTGCAAACACTATTTTTGGCACACCAATTAATGCATTTCGATATCACTTTGATTGAAAAATGCCAAAACTGATATTCTGATCTGTTTTGAAAAGATGAATTAACAATATATTTCTATCGTCGATCACATTCTTCCAGGAAAAAACTTTTTTTCCTTTTTCCATATGATTATTCATGCACTTAAGATACAAGATTTCCCAGTGGGTGATAAGATATTTACAGTTTTTACACTGACTTGCATTAAAATTCTACGGCAATTTCAAACGTTCTTGTTAATAAAAGAAATTTTAAATGACGCAACGTGTACATGTGATAAAAAGAAATCGCTATTTAGTTCCCTCAATCGGGGATTGAGGTGGAATCATCGATCACAGATAGCTGTTAAATCAGAGGGAATCATGAATTCTTATGTTCAAAACATGGAATCATGAACGATTACGAGATAAAGAGTCATAATATTTTGAAAATCGAAATTATGTGGTTGATAAATCGTGAAAAAGAGAGCTTAAAAAAGTCAGAAATCACGAATCTCGAAGGTCGAATGATTTCGCTTCTGCCCCCGCTCCTGAATAATCCGCCAAGACAGGCTTTTTCTCTGACAAGCCATTTCGCATATTCACCGATTAAAGCTCTTCTAAATACGACTAATCATGGTGCTATTTTTTACTAAGTGTATTGTCGAGTTTTTTTTTTTTTTAATAAAATGGAAAAATAAATAAATACCTAAACATGGAACTTTGTTTCTTTCCTTCCATCCTAACCTTTCGAAGATACAGATCCTCCTTGAGGAGTTGAATCTCGGCTCCGGCTGGATGATAGTTATTCAACAGAAACCAGGACTGAACCGTATATGATGACATTGGATTTGCAAAATGATGCATTTTAAGCAAACCTGTTAAATTGTTATGGAAACTTATTAAAACACAATTGAGAGAGTCAACTCCCTGAGCGATTTATACTGCTGGGATAACCCTTTTCACTGAAAATACCCGTCAAATGAATTTTCCAAAAATTATCATCGCCAGTCCAGAATGTCGTGTTATTTCCATGATTGTTTTTACTACACTTCCTATTACTTAACATCGCGTACATTTTTGTACAAAAGCCGAAACCAAGAGAATATCAACTAAGATTACTTATCCTCGTGACTCATAATAATGTTTTTAGTCTATTGTAGATTTCGCCCCACACTGGTAAGCTATTCATGTTTAGACCTCCCATAATGACGCGGTTAACAATCTCCATATAAACTGTCTTGGCCACAACAAAGACACTGGTGAAAGCTAATCGATTTTCTAGTGATAAGAATCCAAAAATCGGTAACCACTTATTACCATAACAAATTGCTCAATGTTTGCCTCACCATTTGATTACCTACTCTCGATGACTGGTAGGCACACAGATGTATAAATAAATTAAATCATGCCAAACTGTAGTTTTGGCTAGCTTAATTTCTGCTATTGTGATGATGTCTTTCTAATTTCGCGCAACGGTAGGAGCTCATGTAAACAAAGTCATCTACCAATTTCTCCACCAATTCATAAAAGTAATAAGCCATAAAGTTTACCGAATTTTATTAGAAGCTAGTTCGTGTCGCTTAGCAAAACTTCCACGTTAATAATCAGTATATCAGCAGCGAGAATGAACCGGTCCTCTTTCTGTTTCCATTTTGAGTTTATTAACAAAGCAATTGAGATTTGATAGACGCTTGAAGGTTCCGTTAATATAAAACATTTCTCCAACGCAGCGTTGTTCAAGTTAGATTCGATTTATGTCAGCGTCCGCCTCATTACACTTACTGCAATCTCAAAACAACTCTATTACTGCAGAATTTGTAGAAAACCTACTTTCTTTCTCTTTTCTGCCTCTCATAAAAAAAACCGACGCGTGTAACTCAGTATTCTGCAACATTAATCGACAACATATTTACAAATCACAGCCAAAAATAGCCGCGATAATTTACATTAAATTTTCGAAAAATAGTCCTTAAATTTTTGCTATTGGAACCGCTGTTATACTAACTCGCAAGAGCCTGAATGCAAACGATGTGAAGCGCTTGGTAACCGCCCTATATCCGATTCGGTTGCGCGGGCTCGATCAACGTTTTAACGGCTTCAGAAAAAGTGCGCCAAATTATACGTTGTCGTTGCCTTGTTTCGATCTCATACGAGAAAGGAGATTTCAGCGGCCAATACTGCCTTCCGCTCCAAGGTTAATTCGTACGTTGGGAGGGCATTCAAATCTGGGTTCGTATGGAGTGATTCAATAGAAATATTCAGACTATCAGTTGGGTACTTATTACAATAATTCAGTGTAAACCGATCGATGGAAGCTTGTATCAATAAGATGAGGTCCAAGAAACTGAATCTTGCTTGATCGGACTTAACCTTCATTGGAAACATGCTGGTAACAAAGGAACTGATTGAACCCTGCTCATACTCTACTGATTGCAGGACTGACAAATTTAATTTCAGTTGCAAAGCTCGAGGTTAGGATAGATTATAACTAAATGGGGCCGAATTATGTACTTGAAGGCTTCAATCTGCAACAAAGTTGAGCTATTTTTGCATGATTCAAAATTGAGCATTCCCCTTCACCTTTCAATCATGTTTGTGAACAGAGAAGTACTGGACTGCTCAGCTAGAGAAGGGATCATAGGAAAGGACTAGGGGTTGCAGTAGGCATTCTATTAATTCACTGATGTACAACAACTGCTTTGTTGCAGATTGTAAAAGTCGATGAGTGGTATAGTGTATGATCAGAGAATGATATATATTACTAATATACAAAGAATGAGATATGTAGATTAAAATTGAAAGTTGTCAATAATACAGTGAATGTTGATGAAGTTGTTCATTGATAATTTGATGTAAACATCATGTTGTTTTGAATAGTTTAGTTAATTATATTTTATGTGAGTTGTATGTTGAAAAATAGATCCAAAAAAAATAGGTATGATTTTAAAGTGATATGATATTATTATAAGATACAAAAAATGATATAGTCTTGAGATGATAAACAGTGAATGTTTTCCATACAGTGAGTGTTGATATAGTTGTTCATTGATAACTTGATGCTTACATTATAAATATTTGAGTCAATTTTAAGCTATGTTGATTGTATGTTAAATAATAAAACCAAATAAAATGAGATTCTTTCCAGTGTAATTTATTGTTTTAGAGGAAAATCAATCATTTCAATAACTCAACAAAACCCAGTAAAGGCTGAAGATTCTTCTCAATAGAATATTCAGACCTCAGAAGAGCACCGAAGACTTTATCAGCAAGAATGCTTGGGAATATGATTCTCCACAAGCAAAGTCAATCTCTTGTGAAGAACAATCGATTTAAAAACGAATATTCATCCTTGGGTGAAGGACAAAACTTCTCATGAGGAGACTCAGAAACTGACATTCTTCCCAAACAAATGTATTGTGTCTTCAGGGAAGAACAGTAATTCTTCTGATAAGCTTGTTCAAAAAAATGAGATTCTGCTCAAATGGATATCATCTTGG